AAAGACGTTATCTTTTAGTTGTAAGAAAATAACACATGGTACTTTTACAGTTCTTAGGCAGTATATTTCCTCCATGACGACTTCTCAGCTACAACTATTACAGCAAAACCTCAGGAAAACCATTAGAAACTTCACAAGAAATTTTGTCCTGCGTTTATCTCATAATTCACTGTGAGTAAATTTGCTCTCACTTGTCGAAAAGTTTGAAATAATGTAGAAGTAAATAACAACAATACATAACGCCTATGAACGTCAACGTAGAGGATGCCCTGTCAAATCATGGATTGAGGGAATAAGGCTTGAAATGAGGATATGCGCTCTGCCGGAGGTGCTCTGGCAAGATCGCTGTCAGTGGCGGTTGGGTGTCGCAGAGCGCACAGAAGCGCCATGAGGGCGACTTATTAGTAGTAATAGTACAATAATACATATTAGACTTTTCTTTTCTTTTTACGAAATGAAAAAATAAACCCTCTAGGTGCAAAACTTTGAAAGAAACACATCGGGAAGTACTACTTTTTTTGGCTACCGGAAGGAGGGGGAGGGTGGGCAAGGTTGCCCTCACCTTCTCAAATTCAAGTATACTTATAGGGGTAATAATGCTCATTCAATTTAACTTCCTCAAATCCTGAAAAAAGATATAAAAATGTGTTTACGATGAAAGACTCATAGATCTGAAGGGACTGGGGAGAGGAGAGGGATGTTTAGAGGGGCAGGGGGGCAGTCAGTGGGTGGAAAAAAAAATTTGGGACCTTACTAATAGAAGTCAAGGTATGAAAATCATAAAATTCATCTAAAAATAGAGAAAAAAAGCATTGTAGCCATCAAATTACCATACAGGGTGTTCGAAAAGTCCCCTCCCCCCCCCTCTAACTTTTGACCTAATTGAGGTAGAGATTTGAAACTTGGAGGGTGTTCCTAGATCAAAGGGAGCTACTTTTTGACCCCCCCCAAAGTTTTAGGGGGCCTCCCTTGGGGGGGGGGGTGTCACGGACCCTAACTCTTTTTTTTCAAATGGGAAGACCCCCTTTGTGATACCTCGTTCGAAAGAGCATACAAAATTTTTTTTTTTCGCGCAAACCCGAAGTCATTATCTCAAACCGTTTCAAAATGGCGGCCGGTCAAAGTTCAAAATGGCCGAAAATTGGCACCTCTACTATTTGCGCATGGATTTGCTTGAAACTCGGTATTGGTTTTTGGGGGTATTTTGGTACGAGAATAACGAATTTGACGTTCGATTCTTTAAAAAACCCTAATTTTTAAAAATGGCCGCCGCTACAGGCTCTAAGTGGCCGAAAATTTGACAAACTCGATTTTTTGCCATTGGATTCACCTGAAATTCGGTATTTGGGGGTATTTTGACCCGAGCTGAACGAATTCGACGTTAGATTTTTAAACAAACCCTAATTTTTCAAAATGGCCGCCGATTAAAGTTCAAAATGGTCAACAATTGGCAACCTCGACTTTTTGCCGATGGATTCGCCTGGAACTCGGTGTTTGGGGGTATCTGGGTTGGAGGAAAACGATAAGCTGAGAATCCTGAAGCTGAAGCTTGAAATTTAACGGGAATCCATCGGCAATAAGTCAAGGTTGCCAATTGTTGACCATTTTGAACTTTAATCGGCGACCATTTTGAAAAATTAGGGTTTGTTTAAAAATCTAACGTCGCATTCGTTCTGCTCGGGTCAAAATACCCCCTGATACCGAATTTCAGGTGATTCCAATGGCAAAATATCGAGTTTGTCAAATTCTCGGCCACTTTGAGCCTAAAGCGGCGGCCATTTTGAAAAATTAGGGTTTTTTATAAAATCTAACGTCAAATTCGTTTTTCTCGTGCTAAAATACTCCCAAATACCAATACCGAGTTTCAAGCAAATCCATGCGCAAATAACAGAGGTGCCAATTTTCGGCCATTTTGAACTTTGACCGGCCGCCATTTTGAAACGGTTTGAAGTAATGACTTCGGGTTTGCGCGAAAAACAATTTATTTTCATACTCTTTCGGACGATGTATCACAAAGGGGGTCTTCCCATTTGAAAAAAAGTTAGGGTCCGTAACCCCCCCCCCCAGGGGGGCCCCCTAGAGTTTTGTGGGGGGGGGTCAAAAAGTAGCTCCCGTTGATCTAGGAACACCCTCCAAGTTTCAAATCTTTGCCTCAATTTGGTCCAAAGTTAGAGGGGGGGAGGGGACTTTTCGAACACCCTGTATGTTCTCAATACGGGCCTCGCAGGCCCGGGAGTCATTCGTTTAGGTAAAAACGGTCAGTCATTTAAGGGTTAATAAACAAGCTCATTTTAGAATTTTTGGGAAAATTTCATATAGTTATTTTAAATACTAGTCATACGAGGTCTTTTAGATTAGACACCGGATTTTGGTCATAACTAGCCCACAATGCGTCCAAATTAGGTTTTCTTGAGCTTTCCTGATAGCTGGAAGTATACTTAGGAACGCTACGTTCACAGATTTTGTTTATTTTGATCAGTGTTTATTCTGTGTCATCTTGAATACGAGTAAGTCAGGTGCGTTTTGCGATTTTCAGCATGCAATCACTGATATAGCAAAGACTCAACTTTTAATTTTGTTTTAAACTCGGTATACCTTGTACCGAAACTTTTGGTATGCTAAGTAAAGTTTACCAAGATCATTGTATGAGATGTTTCCACTGTTTTGAGTGGGTTAAACGATTCAAAACTGGTCAGGAGTTCGTCGAAGATGAGGAGTATGGGAATCGACCCTCAACGGCAACTGACATTTGTCACGTGGAAGAAGTGCGGGGAAAAGTGCCCGAAAATGGTCGTTTTGAGCTTGTTGAACAGAGTAATATTTCTCTGGAACATACAATTTTGATAGAATATGTAGACACGCATCGAGTTTCAGGTACACTTGCCCCTTGACTGTTGTCCGTGGAACGAAAATCCAACCAAATGTCAATTTCCCTTTAGCTGCTTGAACGTTCTTACAATGATCCTACATTTTTGGATAGGATAATTTTCGATGACAATACTTTAGTGTACGGCTACGATATGGAGACGAAACTCCAATCGTCCTTGTGGGTTGAAAAATGTAGTGCAAGACCGAAAAAAGAGAGACAAGTTCGGTCAAACATAAAAATCGCAAAACGCCCTTGAGGTTACCTTACTTTAAGCCGCATACCCAGGGATTTAGAGCTGAGGTTTGAGGGAGCATCATAAACGGAGCCGCATCGGCGCGCGAGGCGGAGGCCCGGCGCGGACTTTCATGCCGCTTCGATCAGTGCGCCGAGGGAGCGCATATGCCGTTGAGGCGGCTTCACCTGGTGAAGCCGACTCCCGGCTCCTTTTCTGATGCTGCATCAGTTTTGATGCTGAGTCCAGCATCAAAATTAGCGGCTTCAATTAGCAGACGCGTCGGACGCCAGCGCCCCGGCGTGGGCCACCGCGCCAATGGGAAACGTAAACAAAGGGGTGTTCCGCGAATTCATCGCAGAGTCCGAGGGTCGCGGTCTTCTGGGACAGCCCCGTCGGTAATTAAGGTGGGTGGCGGGTCCGAAAATTGAGGCCGTATCGGGCCGCAAGCCGACGGTCCGGCCTCAGAGGCTGAGGCCCATGTTGGTCCCTGAGCCAGCATCAAACCTCATGAGGCGCCTCAAATGCCTGCGCATACCAACAAAGCTAATTATGATTTTTCAAATTTGTGAACGAAGCGTTCTTAAATATATTTTCAGCTATCAGAAAAGCTCAAGAAAACGTAATTTGGACGCATTGTGGGCTAGTTATGACCAAAATCTGGTTTCTAATCTAACAGACCTCGTATAAGACCAGTGACGATGCCCCTCCAACAACTTGTGTTAACAGGGTGTCAACAAGTCCGGAAATAGTACCGATTTTTTAAGGGGGGTCCGGAAGTACTGAAAAAGTGCGGAAATTCCGCAAAAGGTGCGGAATATTTTTCATTTTTTGGTCATTTCAATCTCAATTTGAGCGAGAAATTCAAATTTTTGAAATTTTTCGAATTTCGTCAAATGAAAGTACTGAAAAAGTACTGAATTTTTCTATTGAGGAGGTACTGAAATTTTTGGGAATGTACTGTAGAAGTACTGATTTTTGGCCCACCTGTTTTAGTAGACACACTGAAGGTGTGTACCGAGCTTAAAGGAAATCGCTTCGGCCAATTTTTCTCTGGGAGGGGGGAGGGGCAGAGTGAGCCGGTACGACAGCTTTATATAGAGTAATGGTCTCAACCAATTCCTACGTGAGTAATTGTGTGAGAGTGTGTTAGTAAGTGGTGCGGAGGGATACGGCTGGGCCACGATTAGCACGCGGAGTGTGAATTTTTGCAGTTCCTACAGTTTCACACAATGCTTGCTGAAATATGAGACTTCATAATCGGCAGGCTTGAAATAAGACATCTTTAGCAGCAAAGAAACAGAAATATTTCAGGATTGAAATAAGACACCTTTGGCAGCAAAGAAACAGAAATATTTAAGGAAAGCTGAAGAAACCGCCGGCAATTTAGATCCCCTTCACCTTCTCACCTATGTGACGTTTGGCAGGTTGCATCCGTCATCCTCTTTACTCCTCACATTGTCATATATCAATCAATTTTTCCCCTCTTTTAAAATGTAATTCTGTCCTACAAATTTGTTTTATTCGATCAAAGTTGCCTAGTAATTCAGCTGAAAATTCCAAGCCAGCAACAAATTCACTTTTTCAAGTAAAAAAATCAATTTTCTTAACAATAAGACCTCCCTTTGTGATCCCGTGTGTTTTCCACAGCTTTCACCAAATAACCTCAAACTATGACCAGGTATGGGTAGGTGGTAGTGTCTCATCAGTTACATGACATGCTCATTTCATTAAATACCTTAAATATTTCACAATAGTAACTGAAAGCTGTTTTGTATAGAGTTAAGGTCCACCCATTTAGAATAAATACTATTATAAGGCTCAGCATAGTTGATTCAGTTTCAACCTATCAATTTACAATCATATTTTCACAGTATTTTTTCCCTTTATGTGTTTCAGGATTTTTTAGCCTCTTTGTCTGTCAAAGTATTTTGTAAACTCTGCCTTCACCTACTACAAAATGTGCGTCTTTATGGCAAAGCTTTTCCTGATCTTACAATGTGGAATCCATTCCAAAAAAAAGTAAGCATCTAGTTTGTACAAGTTAAAGGAAATGGACCCATAGGAGCAATATTTTAGAGCTCTGAGATATATATCGGTTTGATTCAATATGTTTTTACTGTTTTTCTTGTATTATCCTTTTGGGCGCTTGAGTCTTTAAGAGAACGCCTGATTAAATTTCCCTCCTGGGAAGAATAATCAAGGTACAGAACAGGGGTTCTGAACGTTCATCAGTGTACGTTTTTACCATCAAAAAGCAAATTTTCTCTACGCACTATTACACAGCGGTTACTCAGGCAGTCACACAGGTCGAAGTAATTTTGACAAAAAATCAGCGTGCTCAAAGTAAATTTTACAACAAAACTGAGCAGTGGAAGTAAATTTTACTAAAAATCAGCGCAGTCGAAGTGATTTTGACGAAAGTTAAGCACAATTGAGGTAATTTTAACAAAAAATCAGCGTGACTACTGCCGGAGTGTACACCGTGTTTTGCAGTGTACACTGTTCATCCGCCAAAGAGCCTCGCCAAGTTTAGCCCCTTTTTTTTTATACCCGAGTTGGGAAACGGGACAAGGCTCAAACGAAAGCTTATGGTAAGGCAAACTTCCATGCAAAGTTTCAACTTGAAGTGACCCCTCGTTTAGGCTGTACAGCGTTGCCAATTTTCCAGTTTCATGTGCTAAAATCAAGGATATTGGACTATTAGTCCGGTAGACTAGTACACCCGAGTTGGTCAACGGGACAAGGCTCAAACGAAAGCTTGTGGTAAGGCAAACTTCCAGGAAAAGTTTCAACTTGAAGTGAAACCTCGTTTAGGCTGTACAGCGTCGCCAATTTTTCATTTTTATGCGCTATACTCACGAAATACTGAATCATCATGGTTCAACAGACCAGTATACCCGAGTTGGTCAACGAGACAAGGCTCAAACGAAAGCTTATGGTAAAGCAAACTTCCATGCAAAGTTTCAACTTGAAGTGACCCCTCGTTTAGGCTGTACAGCGTTGCCAATTTCCCATTTTTATGCGCAATACTCAAGGAATACTGGATTCATCATGGTTCAACAGACTAGTATACCAGAGTTAGTCAACGAGACAAGACTCAAACGGAAGCTTATGGTAAGGCAAACTTCCAGGAAAAGTTTCAAATTGAAGTGAAACCTCGTTTAGGCTATACAGCGTTGCCAATTTTCCATTTTTATGCGCTATACTAACGAAATACTGAATCATCAGTGAATCATCAGTGAGTTGAAACTTTTCCTGGAAGTTTGCCTTACCGTAAGCTTTCGTTTGAGCCTTGTCTCGTTGACCAACTCGGGTATTCTATACTATAAGCTCCAAGACCTCCTAATTTTGCGAAACTGGTGACGCTTAGTTCCAGCGTTCTACCGGGCCGATTTTCATGATTTTTGCGGCTGTCGACGGGCAATTGTCTCTAGATAAGCCAACTCTTTTCAGATTTTCAAAATATGGCCCAGGTTTTTTTATATTACGTGGTAAAGTTGCGAATTCTCAAATTTAAACAATGTAAATTTATACTTTTTGTCATAGTTCGTTTGAGCGTTCTACCGGGCCGATTTCCATTATTTTTGCGTAAATCGACTGGTAATAGGCCCTAGATGAGCCCGTTGTAATCAGATTTTGGAAAAAGGACCCAGGTTTTTTTAAAATCACGTTATAAAAGTGAGTTTACAGAATGCTCCGGTACTGCTACCGCTATGCGCGGGAGGATGCGCAGTGGTCGAGGAGGTTGCGCAGTAGCTGTGTAGCCTGCGCATCAGCTCTACACTTATCTACACAAGATTCGCACTTACGACCTCACGTCGAGCGGTGGCCGAGTCGTCTACAAGACGTCGAATGCGTCCACTTCGCACTTGGTGTGGGTTCGAAACCCGACTCATGAAATCTTAATAATTTACCTGACTATCATTGTTCATTGTTTTACTGCAATATTTCATCAGGCAGTCATTCCAAAACCCGTCCTTTTCATTTTAAAGTAATTTTAAGTAATGTTTAAAATTACAGTATACCTCATATCGTAATTTTTTAGGGGAAAAATAAAACTAACACTGATAGGAGGGTAAAAATAGGGCCGCGAAGCGGCCCATTGATGGCGCGGAGCGCCTTCAGGGGGTTGGGCCGCGTAGCGGCCAGGGGGCATAGCCCCCTAGTACTTGTCTGTTGAACCATGATGATTCAGTATTTCGTGAGTATAGCGCATAAAAATGGAAAATTGGCAACGCTGTACAGCCTAAACGAGGTTTCACTTCAAGTTGAAACTTTTCCTGGAAGTTTGCCTTACCATAAGCTTTCGTTTGAGCCTTGTCCCGTTGACCAACTCGGGTGTACTAGTCTACTTATGCACCGGACTAATAGTCCAATATCCTTGATTTTAGCACATGAAACTGGAAAATTGGCAACGCTGTACAGCCTAAACGAGGGGTCACTTCAAGTTAAAACTTTGCATGGAAGTTTGCCTTACGATAGGCTTTCATTTGAGCCTTGTCCCGTTGACCAACTCGGGTATAAAAAAAGGGGCTAAAAAACACCACTTTTTGGCGAGGCTCTTTAGATTGCCAGTTCGTGAACATTCTGCACGCCTGGTACAAAATTGATACAATATTTCTGGTTTTCATGCTATGTATATGGTCAAAATGTCTAATTGATATCCGCTCATATCCTCATTTTTTTCTGTCATCTAGTTGCATGGCGTGCTTTGCGATAAATTGATTTATCTCTCATTTAAACTCATGGAAAAGGATCGATAAACAGGGTGTTTGCAGTGAACACCTTAGTAATTGACTCTCCACGATAGTTTCAAAGAGGGATTCATCAAAAATCGATCTTGAACGCCTTGCCGTCATCAGTTATTGTAGCATCAAATTATACTTGTATCAATAAAGCTGAGCAGTGTTAGGTTGCATTCTTGCTTAATTTGTTCTCTAATTGCTATATTTCTTTTCTCAGTGTATGTTTGTGGAGGTCAAAAGTCCCAAAGATCGCTTGTCACATAATCAGAGACTGTGGCTCTACAATCTCTCAAAAATGGGTGCTAATTCAGAAGTCTGTAACATTCAAGGTGAGTTACACATGCAGGCAAATACACACACCCATACCCCCCCCCCCCCCNCCCCCCCCACACACACACACACATTCTCACACACACACCCTCACACACACACTAGGGTGTCCCACTTTGGACCTAAAAAAAAAATTTGCGAAATCCAACAGAGATACTTGCCAAAAAGTTGTCTCATGGTTAGAAAAAAATCACAAAAAAATCTCAGGGTCGTAGCTAAATGTTAAGTGGTCCCGCAAGGCACTTAAGTGGTTTTACCAATTTCTCATCTTGGCGATTTTGCAGATTTTTTTTCGGTAATGCAATCGTGCTAGAAAGTTGTAAATGCGGATAATGAGAGTTCTGATACTACATTTTAAGAAATCGAAATCGTTAGAATGCTGCCTCCTAATTTCTCAACTTTTTCTCCAACCGCATAGTGGAAATTGCCCTACCCTTCCGAAGTCCTTCAAGGTGTTTGCACTCTCTCATTTCCACTAAGACCCCCTGCCTCCACTCTTCCACTGGGCGTTCTTTTTGTCTCCTCCCAGGAGGAACCCAATCCTTGCCGCGATTCATCCACCCTTGTACTTCCACTATGCGGTTGCAGAAAAAGTTGAGAAATTAGGAAGCAGCGAAGATCGAAACGATTCTAACGATCACTGCCCGTCCAAAAAGAGGGGGGTGTGGCGAGGGAAAGTGAGAACTCGCACGATCCTGATCATCAGAAAGCAAGCCTTCTGGAAAGGATCGAGCTTCAGCAGATCAAGCCATAAATTTAGGGTGCCAGATGCTCGTCGGGACGCCTGGGTTCGGGCGCCAACACACTTGAAGTGCGTACTCACAAAATATAATGAGGTGATTTTCCTGAGATGAGGACAGGATTGGCAGGAAGGAATAATGAGAGCAAATTTGAACATACTGGAGTCAATTTTATTGACAAGAAAAGAAAACTATTTCTTAAACACAAACACAAACTTAAAAATCTCAAAAAAAAAAATAAACTGAATGCGAGATCAAAATAGGATGGTTGAAGACGCATGAGTTGATCGGATTGACTTTTAAATACCTTGAAAGGAACAGTAAAAGAGACATGAAAATGAATGAATGAACTTTCGAATGAATTTTCTTTGATTATTTATTTGACCATAAATTTTCCAGACAACCGGTGCTACTCACCACGTGCACTCAATCTTGTATGGCGGATTTAAGGCTCAAAATAAATATCTTACTCTATAGTATAAAATCATAAGCGCATCGTGTCACGCTAAGGGTGTCATGCTGAGGGTGTCACGCTAAGGGTGTAATGCTCGGTTTCTCCTCCACTCCCCGCTCCCCTCCCGCCGCCCATGCTCACGTGCTTTCCGCCATCTCTAGCTCTACTCTGGCTCAGAGCCCTCCACCACCTGTGCCCCTTCAGCTACCGATGCCGCTACCCCTATGACTCTGAATTACCTCCCTCCGTTACCCCGGAACAACAAATTGTAAAACTACATAACATTATTATCGCTGCACGAATTATGTCCGGAGTCAATACTGATGATATTGTTTTTATTCCTAGAGTAAAATTAGACACTGAAGAAAGCACCAGCTTTCCTTTCATCCTCCACTGGACGCAGTTCCCTATTGCACTTGCGTTTGCAATGACAATTAATAAGTCTCAGGGACAAAGTTTTGATCAAGTTGGGCTCTACGTAAATGGACCCCTTTTCAGCCATGGGCAACTTTATGTTGCATTATCACGATGCACATCAAAATATGGTATAAAAATTCAAAAAATAGGGGAAAATAATTCTGAAAATGTGATTCCTAATGAAGTTTGGCCAGAAATTTTTGATTTATAAATTTCTATCGCTATTTCAAATTTTTACCCCATATTTTATGTTGTTTTTTGTTGATTTTATACTTTAATTTTTGTTTTTTGTTTTTGTTGGAGCTATACATTTATTTAATTTTTTAATTTCACCACTTATCTAATTTTTTTTTTTTTTTTTTTTTTGAATTTTTTACACGTGCCTTATTTTTTCTACGTACCATTTATTTTGTTTCTCTTCTATTTTTTTTAATTATCTCATTTTAAACATAGTAAAAACACATAACGATCTTAATGCTATTTATACCTGTATATTAGATGCGCGAAGCGCCTCTGGGGGGTTGGGCCGCGTAGCGGCCAGGTGGCGCAGCCCCCTAGTTTTCAAACTAAATTCAAATAGCAACTAAAGCTCCAGGTGCTACTCACCACGTGCACTCATATAGAAAGTTGCGAACAATACAAGTACCTGGGGGTGAACCTGACTTCGGATGGGAAGCTGGATCAGGCCATTCGGGACCGTAATCTTCTAGGAAGGAAAGCCATCGCCATGCTTAATGGGATCCTCTGGGATCAGCGGATTTCCAAAGATAACAAGAGGAGGATATACAACGCTGTAGTCAAAAGTATATTAACATACGGATGTGAAGTTTGGCAGCTGAAGAAACGGACACAGGATATGCTAAGAGCAACGGAGATGGATTTCTGGAGAAGGTCAGCAGGAATTTCTAGGAGAGATCGGGTCCGTAATGATAGAGTGCGTCAGATAATGGAAGTCGAAAATGACATCGTGTTCGACGTCATGACCAAACAACTTGTTTGGTATGGTCATGTCAATAGGATGACGGAAGAGAGGCTGCCAAAAAAGATGCTTGATCGGGTTCCTCCTGGGAGGAGACGTAGGGGACGCCCAGTGAGAGGTTGGCGACAGGGGGTGTTAAATGAGATAAGAGATTGTCAACTCCCTGATGACCTGTGGGAAGACCGAGCTTTGTGGCGATTAGGCGTCGCACAGCGCCAAAGAGCGCTATAAAAGCGACATATATATATATATATATATATATTGAAAATACCTAATTTTGTGGTCAGAACACCTTCTCCCGAATTACAGACCATGATATGCCAAAAAAGCCAATTTTAGGCCATTTTTTGCAAAATAAGGCAACTTTCAGGTCCGAATTTGTCGGTGCAAAGTTGCAATTCGGATTCAGCGTCAAAAATGACATAAGAATCACTGAAAATATTGCTACCCGGGATTTTTGCAGGCTCTCTCCTTGTTTGCCCGGACTAGCTGGAGAAATGTAATTTTTCGATCTATATTTGACAAAAAGAGCTCAACAACGTCTCATTTAATCAGTTTTTACTCCGTTTACTTGAATATGTAAACCAAGTTTTGTGGCTTTTTCCATTCGCTCAAAAAATTGATCATTGTAATACTTTTTGGACATTCTTTTCAATAAACAATTTGAGGAATTTTTGGGCTTTGTAGCTCCTTTATTAACTATTGTATTGTACCTTAATAATGCTGACAGCGTTTGGTTCCTTTTTAAATATGTAGAATGTCTAAAGTGCAATTTGGACATGCCTGAACATTGCTCTTCAAAAGGTGTCTTTCAAAAATAAGTTGAAGGTAGGTTTTCAAAAATATTAAAGACCGTTCAAACTGCATCAGGTAATCTTATTACATTATATCCCCTGTTTTCCCATCAAATTGCAAAATTGCATTCGTTTTCTATTCCCTTTTTTATTTTTTCTGTTTCTCTTTTCTACAGCAACCGGGTCAAGGAAGAGGAAGCTAGTCATTGGAGCCTCAACTCCTTCTATCACTTAAATACTGCAGACGGTTCTCTACTATTTTATACTTTCGTAAGGAAAATCCTCCAGGGACCCCAAGTACAAGATGTTTCCTCTACTGGAGTGCTGTTGCTGCTGTACTTTGATGTTAGTAATGATGCTATAAAAGTCCACACAACTTTATTGCTGGCTTTGGCACACCGACAAGATTGTGGAAGGTTCTGCAAAGAGTTTTAACTTGAGAGAGTGGACCCCTGGACAATGTGCGAATTTAAACACTCTAACACACAGGGTGTCCAAAAGTTCTTATCCCTTCCCCTTCTAAAAGCTTCTGTGTAGAGCCGTTGAGATGAAACTCGGGGGGATGAAACTGTAGGTCAAAGAGAACTACATTTTGGCATATCGAATATTTGGTGAAGGGGGGGGGCGCTGGGCTGTGATTGCGCCCCCCCCCCTTGTGATACCTCCATCGAAAGAAGATAAAAAAAATGTTTTCGCGCAATACGTAAGGCGCCATCTTTATTATTTTTTCAAAATGGCGGGAAATCGGCATTTTACCTATTTGTCGATCGGCTAATCTGAAACTTGGTATCCGAAGATTTCTTGAGACGAGGAAAACGAATTTTGTGAGATTTCTTTGAAAAAGCTAAATTTTTTTCAAGTTTTTCAAAATGGCGGTAAATTGGCATTTGTAAAGTTTATCAATGGATATGCATTAAATTTGGTACCTGGGGACGAAAAGGTCATATATTTCAAATTCTTTGAAGCCTTTTTTAGAATTTAGAAATTTTTAGCCGCCATTTAGATGGCGGCTAAAAATAGCGAAAATTTGGCATTTTAGGTTTTCTAAATTAATTTATCTAAAACTAGGCATCGACTTTTTAAGGCGAAAAAAACGAATCTGGTGAGCTATTTTCAAAATAACAAATGGGCTTGTTGCCAACTTCTGCTGGAGCAAAAATAAAAGTTGTTTCCATCAGTAAATGTCTTAAAAATCACGATGAGTTCATTGGCGAAGTTTGATGCCCTCCTAACTTCACAATTTGTGTACAAAATTTGCTTTTTGAGCTTCATGCTGCAAAAACGATACTACAGCAAAGGTGATAATTTCGTTAGAGGAGTCGTTCTACTCATCCCTGTGCCACTGTAAACTACACAACATTCAACATGGCTGACACCAATCTGCCAAAACACTTGTGCCTGGACGAGATTCTAATAATTTGTTACCAACCCAGTGTGTTTACATTTACGATTTCTTCGCGTTGATAAAGATCCGCTTTGGTTGACCTTATGCTCCTGATTGTGATTTGCGCGCGGAAGTGTCGGCTATGTTGGGTGTTGCTATTGCAAAAGGATTGAATAGAACGATTTTTTCAACGAAATGTTCACCTGTGCTGTAGTATCGTTTTTGAAGCGGGAAGCTAAAAAGTACGAGAATTTCTCACGCAAATTGTGAAGTTGGGAGTGCAATTCAAACTTTGCCAATGCGTTCATTTTTTAGACTTGTATGGATAGAAATAACTCTTATTTTTGCTCGAGCAAAAGTTTGCAACAATCCCATTCTTTGCTAAAATGCGAAATTCCGGCCTTTTTGAGAAGGCTTCGAAGAATTAAAAAATAAGACTGATTTGTTCTTTACATCCCCCAAATACCCCAGGATATCAGATTTAATGCATATCTATTGGTAAACGTCTCATATGCCAATTTTCTGCCATTTCGAGAGCCATCAGTTCGGAAAAAGTTAGCTTTTTTTAAATAATGTCACCATCTTCGTTCTGCTCGTTTCAATTAATGCTCAGATATTGAGCTCTAGACAAATCCTCCCACAAGTAGGTATAATGCCAATTTTCCGCATTTCTGGCCGCCATCTTTGAGAAAAATGAAGATATCGAATTGCCCGATTTTTTTTTTTTTTTTTTTGCGATCCTTTTTCGAACGTGATATCACAAGGAGGGGTCGCCATTGTAAAGAAAAGTTGGGGTTCGGTCCCCTCAACATTTTGGATATGCCAAAAAGTATTTCTCTTTAAACATTCCTCAAGTTTCGTCCCAATAGCTCAACTACGGAAAATTTTAGGAGGAGAGGGTACGACTCTTGGGATACCCTTTAGGTTTCTTCCTAAAAATTTCGCCGAAATCACGATTTGCTCATAGAAATTAACTGAAATGAACTACTAACCAAGATATCAACATTTTTATCCAGCATTGGTTATGGAAAATTTGAATTTTCCGCTCTTAATGTAAACCAGAGATTGATCGAATTAAATTGCGCATTAAAACAGTTTTAGCCGTCCTCTTAATGAACTGTGCTCTTTCCACACCCTGTGTTGCTCAAAGTGTGAACAACATGCAATAACTGAGCTGCTACGTACGCCGCAAGGGAGATTGGGGTAGTTTTATGCAGCAAGGACTGTCAGATGTTAATGAATCTACAGCGGTGTGTAGTAAGAAATTCTTCTGCACAGGGAGCGCCACCGCTGTGTTTTGATTTTTTGGTCCATGCTACTAGAGTTCGTACAGCCCCCCGTGAGCCCTTGAGCTTTTATGAAAGTTAAGGAATTTCTATCAAAATCGAGGAGTCATAAGTTCTAGCCATAACATTCTTCTTCCTACTGACACTGAAAAAGTCATGATAAGTAATTTCTGAAGCTCTGAAACTTGATCCCAGAAAAAAGTAGGGTTAAGTATGATGACCTTGATGCAACCAATCGCGACCGATCGCTCTCAGCGGTTGCAGATATCTCTCTCCCACCATGAGCCATCTCTCTCGCACTTACAGAAATCTCATAAGAGAAACTGGGATCATGTTATAGCTTCTATTAATCAACTTTCAAAGCTCGCGTTTTTTTCAAAGCATTCCAGACGTATGCTGATAGAACTTATGAGTCTTAGTATTTAATATATCTATTGTGATATTTAAATGATCACTGATTTCGGAGCCGGATATTAGCAGCGCGACTTAGTGGGTTTTTTCGGAACTACAACTGCAGATTCACCTTAATTCTCCCTTCGACGCCTATGCAAGTCTACAAAAGTACCAAAAGTACCATTTCTGGTGTCTACAGATTTAAATTTTACCTAGTTTAATGGGTTTTATGCTACCACTACTTACACAGCCATGCCCCCCCCCCCCCCCCNTTAAAAATGATCAGTTGAGATTGGTAGAGAAAACGAACTGATTGGACTGAGTTAAGCAGAAAGGAACCAACCCACACTTTGGAAAAAATTGAGTTATGAGTGGTTTTGAACTCAACCGTTGCTCTACTATCTATCACCAAAAATTCAAAGTTTTTGTTGCAGCAAATTTTGTAGAAATTGAACTTGAAGTTTATCTTTTACATTGCGTCTTATGCAGGAGCCAAACTCTAAACCTCTTTTTCTCGGTTCGATCCCGATGTGGCTTGGTTTCTTTCTGTTTAACTCCGTCCAATTGATATCGACTGTTATCAACAGAAACCAGTTGAAAGTCTACAGATATTTGATGAGTATCAGTTGGTACCAGTAGAAGTTAAACTGATACCAGATGATACTCCATAGATATGTCGCAGGCATTTAACAATTTTAGGCAAATAGCCATCTGCTTAGGCAAGTAGCAATCATGCCTATTTGCCCGGGCAGATGACTATTTGCCTAGGCAGTTTGCTGTTTGCCTGGGCAACTTGCTGTATGCCTAGGAAAGCTAGAGCTGAACCAGAATTCAGGCAAATAACAATTTAACTTTTCATCGAAATAAGATTTTTTATCGTACTGATCTGGCAAATAGATATGAAACACGACAATGCATTAAGTGGAGTCTCAAAGTAGGTGACCAAAACCCTCGACTGATAACACAGAGTTACACAAGGACTGCCGAAAATGATAAAGACAACATTAAGTACGATTTTCCAGCTGCCGATAACCGCCAGTCGATTTGATATTTTATTTTCGGTTGACAAATTTTAATTGTCAGAAAGGCAGAATGTAGTGAAGTTATAGCCTCAGAATTTGATCGTAGTCCTCTCGCCGACAGTGTTATCCCCGGATTGATTACAGAGGTGAAAAATGACAAGTATAAAGTGGCAATCGCGGCCGGCATTCTGAAACAGTGGATCTCACGGAATGCATTACAGGAAGTTCCGACTTTAACCCTTAAGATCGGAGAAGTGCCCCTCGAAAAAACAGTTTCGTTGAGAGAAGCGGCAGCCGTCCATTCCTTGGACAACAGGCAAGGATTCGTGAAATATAACTGTGCAAAAAGCAAGACTCAATGCGAAACGAAACGGTGCTCAAACTTCAAGAACAATAGAAAATGTAATAGCCGGTGCCATAGATCCGTAGCCTTCTCTAACAAATACTGGTAAACTTGTCAGTTAATGTTCCTTTATCTATCGATTGTTATTCGCCTGATATTCCGTAATGTTATTTGCCTAGGCAACTTGTTGTGTGACTAGGCAACGTGCTGTTTGCCTAGGCTGCCACAAGGCTGCCGCTTTTTGCTTCTTATTCGCCTAGGTAGATGGCTATTCGCCTAAAATTGTTAAATGCCTGCGACAGATATGTGTATGGTGAGCCTCAATAGGTAACGGTTGAAATTTGCTACATACCACTTGAGGTTCAATTGATATCAGTTCAGCATGAACTGACATCTGTTGAACATCAACTGATCCAAACAACAAATTCAACAGGCGTCAATTAAAAGTTTCAACTTAGTCCAATAAGGCTACGTATGCATTTTAAAACGACAACCTGGTTGGCATGTTTGACAAGGCCCACCAGGCCACTTCATCAAGGCATCTATACTTCAGGGCCACTACCTACATCAATAGAGATATTTAAATTATTTTTATCCCTTTTCCATTCAATTTTTTTCTAGAGTAGGTAAATGCATGATTTTATTATTTTAAAATCTAGAATAATGCTGATAATTTGAAATTCTACGGCCGTTCAAAGATTACGTCACCGAGAGTCACCGAGATAGTGTTTTAAGCCACGGCCGCCATCTAAGATTTTCGAATCTTGGAAATTTGACTAAAATTTTCAGTTTCCCGTCAAAAAATATCTGAGGGTACCAAGTTTCACTTAAATCGATTGATTAGGTGCTGAGATAGCATTTTAGGTCACGTCCGCCATCTTGGATTTTCGAATCTTGGAATTTGACTAAAACTTCGAGTTTACCATTTCACTCAAATCGGTAGAAAAGCGCCTACAGGGATAAAACAAGCAAGTCTCAGTTGTAACAGTTTTCCACTCTGTCCCATTAAACTGGGACACTGGGACAGGATGGAAACATATGGGACTGAATCGAGCAAAACGCGTATTTCTAACAGTAAAGACAATTTTGGTGTTTTTTTCATGGAATATTTAGTAGCACATCCTGGAGTATCGGAATAAAAAAAAATTTCCCCAATGCACACTTCGAAAGTATTTTACGAGCTGATATTAGTGTTCGTGTGTATGTTTGACGCCCTGTTAGTTATCATATACAGCATTTTGTTTGGCATCATTAATGGCGTTAATCTTACACAAAAATTTGCGAATTTCAGAATTTTTGCCATCTGTGACGTGTGAATTATTCAATAGAAACAAAAAAAAAGTCGTTTCTGGAGAAACCTCAACATTGCGGCAATCATTTAGAGCTTGTTACATCGTTGCCATGGCTTTCCTGACTGTTGCTGGAGACAATGATTCTTGTGCGTGAAAAAGTTACTGATGGAGCAAAAAAGAAATTGACATATTTTTTTCTCAAATGCAAAAGCATCACCTATCATCTCCGAAAAAGTTTTCTCAAGTAGGTAATCACTCTAGTTATGCTGCAATACTAATTTAAAGTCAAGAACCGGGCATGGGGGACACGCAAATTTGGGACGAATGTAGGCAATTTGCACATTCAAAGTTCTCCTTTTTTATTTTAGTCCAAATAAAGTGGAAAATAGCATGTTATAGTCAACAATAGTGTGGAAAACGAGAAAAAAATTCGATCTGCCCATGTTTCTCAGATTATGACGATTAAAACAGCTGGGGACACCAGATTAGACGCTTCTTTGAATTCACCCACCTAGCTGTAAGTATCTAGCCCGGATATGGGATCCTGACTACTATGCTATACTCAAGCTCCTGGATCTTGGGGCATGCGCATAGTATGCTATGCTGGTAGGTCGAAGGTTCCGATCCCCAGCACACGGATCCCGAGTTACTGAGGTAGCCGGCTAGACGGAGATCCGACAGATCTCGGCATCCGCATAGTAGCTGGATCGTGCAGCAGTCCTTGAGAGTCGAACACGTCGAAATTCGGCCCGACGTTCAGCCTGGAAATACCGTGCGGCAATAAAGACAATGCCCTCAATGCGAGCGCTTCAGTCGAAGTTCTGCGAACTGCGGCGGCCAATCTTAGTGCACTCAATAGCCGGCTAGTAGCCGATTCCTGGTGGATACTAGCATCCCAGCATATCAAGGCAGCAATCCACTTCATATTGATAAGCGCTCAGATTACTCCATGCCCTATCTGTTTTGTTGGTGCATTTTTCAATCCAGGAAAATGCCAAATAAAGAAAGCAAACGACAATCATAGGGGCTGTCAGGCACAATTCGAAGGAAGAGTTTGATAGGGCCTTGTTTCAAATTAAAAATGGCATTATGAAAATGTATCAATCTTGCAAAGTATACAATACCCTGAAGCACCATTAATGAGGAGCATGAGGTGGAAAAGACGCTTCTTTAACTGTGTCCAAAAGCTGGAGGAGATTTCATTTCTTATCTTCCCACTAAGAATGGAAAGGAACCTGCACACTGCATTAGAATTTTGGATAAAGATTCATTCGGTCCATCTCAAAAAGAGGTTTAAAAATTATATGTTAATATGTGTACATAAAATATGCGTTGCCAACAATTCTTCGATACCTTGATAACGATTGTAGATGAAATACAGCTACATGGTAGACCACATTCATTTTGTAACTGAGATAAAAGATCATTTGGCCATAACACATCTGGAGCAAACTTGGTTAGTGAAACAAATCCTCCATGTCAAAGAAAAGCCTTTGCATCAGAGCGAGAGAACACGTCAGTGGTCCTCTGTTGCTCTTCTTCTGGCCAGAAACTTCCTATATTGTCCATTTTTATTACTAAATAAGTGATGGATAATTGGCTTAAAAAGACGAAATAGATGCCATAGCTGCAACTGCTTTTGCAAGACAATAATTTTTTTCTTCCTTCTTTTTTTTAATTATAATTCAGGCAATGGCTACCATAATGGCATATGCGGGGAAACCTTGTTTCGAAAAAAACGTGTTTGATTTAAGTTTTACCTTGTGAATAGCACATTGTATTTTTCAGAGACATGACAGGTTTTTATTACTAGTTTAGGTTTGAACCCTTCCTAAAGAAGAAATATGCACTTTATCAAATAACTTACGTATAAGTATGGTAGATTTGTAGATTTTTTAAAGAAGTACGCTATGTGCTGTTTTTGCACCAACCATTCGTAGTTGCGGAAATTTGAGTGAATTTGAGAGTAAAATGAAAGAATTATGAATCTTAAACATGCTTTTATTAAATTATAATGTAAATGTGGTAATTTCAAAGAAAACCAACTGCTGAAAATAAAAAACTTAAGAAACATAACAAGTCCTTTCGGCTTATCAAAAACTTAATGAAAGTGTGAGATCTGTAAAAAAGTGAAAATAGAGTAGCTTCCCAAGAATGATGAGAAAGAAACTGAATTCGAACCAAGAATTTCCTGCTCACAACTTCATGTACACAGAATTGAGAAGTCAGGATTCGCCATAGAATCACCATATTATCGTAACACTTACAGGGATTCCAACTCTAACTTTTGGAGTGCAGGATTCAATTTCGCTGTTGGGCGCAAAAGCTAGATATACAGGCATTTGCCATTATCGTTGGGGCCGCCTCAATTGCCTATTTTTTCAATCTTCATTGATTTGCTGTTCCAATTTGATGATATCAATCTGATGTTGAAGTAAAACATCAGAGCAACTTCCATGGGGAAGAAGAAAGGCTGGACTAACAATATAAGACAAGTTTTCATAACACATGAGCTTGTCTACAAAAACGAAAATTCTCAGTGCTCCAACTTGCGTTTAGAAGAGGCACCTAGGGACCGTTTTTACGATGGTATATACCCACATCAAAACTGTCCTGTGTACCTCCGATAGAGGAGTAGGTGTTTGATAAGATGGACTTTCATTTACAAGAACCATTTTAGGGTTTGTAAGAAGAACTACTACATGTTATTGATGTGGATTGACTACACTTTAGGGTACAATAAATGTACACTCATCGCATTAAAACTGCTGACTGATTCTCCAATACCTAAGTATGAAACTTTCTGCTTGTTTTTTTTTCCCTTTCTTTCGCACAACTCAATATGTTTCTGGTGACAAAATTTGCTAACCTCTTATCCAAATCAACACCACCCTAATTTGGTTATCCATTTTTAAATTTTTAGAAATTACTTCACAATGATATTTCTAATAGCCCCGAAATCTCATTTCGTGAATTAGACAAACTATTATGACGCACACTTGGCAACATGATGAATCCCTTTAATAGAAAATAATTACACTTGGAAGATTCATTATTAGGCTGCCTTTGTCTGAAAATACTACTGCAAAATTATATTCCGTGACACAGCAGAAAATAAAGTTTAAACAATGAACTCTCTCATCATACATTTCAACAACCTTATGGATCATTCTACGCCAAGTCAAACCAAAGTAGAGGTTCTTTTGACCTGGCCCCCTCAGATTTTAATGATACTTGGTATACAGCGACAATCCTAGCAAAAAGCCATCAAGTTTAAATTTTTTTACCATCCATTTAATTTTATGGGATGAATTTTCTGAAAATTGCCAGTTTTCATGCTAATGACTAACTTCAAAGGCATACAACTTCGCCAATATTTGTGCTGAATGACTCGTTTTGGTGCTGTTGAAGAGCTGTCACGATGTACTTTCAAGGCACCATACACCTTGTTGAGACTGGACTCTAAATTCTTTCCAAAGAAAACGTTTCATTTTAAATTGTTACTAACTTTAAAAACCACCTTTTTCAAGTTTTGGAAAAGATATGGCAGGTGCATAAGAGTTTCTGTACAAAATTTCAACGTGGCAGCATAATGGCATCAAAAGTTATGATCCAAAATCCAGTGAAAATTTGAATACCGAACGCGCACTTGGAGATAAAATCTGACGGGCTCGCAATTGCCGGTTTTCGGAAGCGGTCGGTCAGGGTTGCGACACGCCACGCCTCACGGTTGGTTCTGCGGGCGCCGAGAGCGCTGCGTGTATGAGTGCGTGATGCGCTGAGCTGAAACTGTGCGGCGCATTTCAACGCCGATCATATACGGGTACTTAGGCTGAGATGAAAACAGAGATACTTAAGAATTTGAAGTTCTCTTCCTCTTTTTCCCCTTTTGCGATTGTACAAACCGCTGGAAGTCATCACAAAATTCGAGAGAATTATCACTGCTAACATTTGTCTCATCTGTCTTGCATTTAGGAGGCTGGCACTTGAGAACTGTAAGTAGATAACAGAAAAATTTGATTGAAATAGAAGTACTTCGATGACACAATTTGAAACATTGACAAACAACTCCTAGCTGTATTATAAATTGTATACTTACTTTCTTCTTGTTTTTAACCCAATGAGTTGGGCTCGTCAATTTTGCCATTTTATATCCATATGGCTGTTCAGGTCTCTGATCAGCCATGACCCGAAAAGCACTTGGTCCGTCCTTGCACCAATCCTATGGGGCTCCTTCGGAGATTCACTCTACACCAGCTGCAGAGGCCTGCTGCAGGACTAACTGGCGTATTGTTCCTGCATTCTTGCTTTCATTGTACAAGCAGGCAGTGTCATTTTCGTCCCTGAGAAGGACTGACCTAGTGCTTATTAGGCTACGCTAATTAGCCATGATCAGATAAACAAATTGTTTAAATCAACATGAAAGCTTATGATAACAAGTTGACATTATGCCTACTAAGTTTTGATAAAAAACGCACAAAAATAGGTAAAAGTCCAAAAAGTTGGGATGTTCAAAAGGCCACAACGTTCTGGGGTCCTAAAAATCCTACTTGCTACCAGGTATAATCAAAAATAGAATGTTTGAGGCTTTCGGTAATGGGTCTGAGGCGCTCCTCTTTTATTCCTTCCTTGACTATACTTAAATCTGTTTCAAGCATGAGGCCATTAGACATAAGCATGTCATATATGCAAACTTTGAGAGCTGCCTGGAACGAGTCAGCGGTGACTTCACATACAACAAAATAATAACTTAAAAGTAAGAATGAAACTGATACATTGATGTTATTCAAAATGGCAACTTTGCCCCATCCCTAAATAATTTTGCAGGCTAAAACTCTGCGAGGAGACCTGAGTCATTTAGTAAAATTAGCACAGAAAATTTGACCCACATCCAGAGAGGAAGGGGGGGAGGCAAAATAGAGCTATTTCACAGCAATCTCTTTCACTGAGGGGAACACCTTTACTTTAGCACCGAATGTGAACCCTAACAAATGAAAAGCTTAACGTTCAGCCGAACTCCTAATACCTTATTGAGTTGTTGGTCAATTTATTGGGCAGCCTCCTTTAAAGTCAAGCATATCTGTTAAAATAGAATCGGGACGTGCGAAAACCGCTGAAGTCCATTTTTCCAGTCTTCAGTTTTTTTGAGTTGATAATACTTGCAGAGTTGATACAACCGTAAAAGTGATGACAGGGCTTGTTTTGTGAATAAGGTAACCCGAGGCGAGTATTAACGGCACTTTCTTGGTTGCATCCAACTCCGAAAAGTATTAAGTATAAACTCAAAAAAACTGAAGACTGAAAAATTGATATTAGCGGTTTCTGCACAACTGATTCAATTGTAAAAAAAATCCTCGTAAGGCCAATGGGTAATTTCTGAGGGCGTCCTTATGTTAAACAACACAATTGAGAAGTACTGTAATCCTTACCAGATTTTGCAGATGTGGCACTCATATTATTGCTGCTGCTATTAGCTGAAACATCATCTGTAGATAAATTTGATTTGATCACATCTTTCCAGTGTCCTGCTTCATGGATACGTTGCTTTAGTTCATTCATTTCGTTTTCCTGTTGTTTGATTCTGGCCAATAAGAATGCATTGATGCTATTTTGATACTTTCTTTGGGCGTTCATTTTTTTGGACAAAAAATCTGCTTTCAAGATCCCCAAATCTAATTTTTTTTTAAGTTTAAAGTCCTGGAAAAAAATTTAGATAGAATCGTTGGAATAAATTACTACATACTCTCGATTGAGAACACAATAAACAATAATGAAAAGTAATAAGTTTATTCAAGCCCAGTTATTAATACAAATTCGAATGAGAACAATTAACAATGCACTTCATTCATTGAGGCGCAGAAATCTAATTCTTTCGAATTACTAAATAATATTCTTAAACTTACTTTGCAGTGTTCAAAGAATGTCATCAAGGTCATCCAGAAAGTAAGGTCTCCTACGAACTTTCTCTCAAATTATTGATGCAATAATAAGGAATTAATTAATCTGATGTATTCAGTATACTCTGGAATTTAATTTCAGCTCAAATTATTGAAAATTGGATCTCAAAAATGCTCAGTAAAGAAATTTTCCCAGCCGGATCGGAGTGTATCAGATCTGTGTCAAGAAAAGTGCTCATGGACAGTTACCATTCGCTCAAGGTATTTTTGAGAGGTATTTTTACCTGATTGGCCTGCGCAAAGTGGTGAGGTCTTGCCGTTTCCTCGAAAAATCGATTTTTTTTTTTTTGTTGTAACGCAGGCTGTTATGATGTTGGCGGAAACAACTAACACTTCTGCTTTTGGATATGTTGCTATTTCCATACCTAAGAGTAACTAAATTGTGACAGTGTTACTTCCTTGCGCAAACACTTAAAAGTGTGCATTTGTCACTTTGTAGTTCCATATAATATGTTAAATTAATTTGAGTTTTGTATCAGTGTTTAGATATCAGGTACATTCCAAAAAATTGTATTTACACTTTAAAAGCAATGGTTAGAATTCTGTATTTTGAAACTAGCCATAAATAATAATAGTGACAAAAAAAGGAGAAGAAAAAGAGGAAATAAAGAGGATACGTTTCAAGATAGTATTGTGAGTGCCCACAAGGTCATCAACTCTGTGAGAGATTCTCATAAATTGAGATGACTTCGAAGGCTTTTTGCCTGATCGACCGGCACAAAGTAAGGAAATTTTGCAGGTTTCTCGAAAAATTCGTCTTCTGCGGTAGTAGTGAAAAGTGAGATTCTGAAGTACAAAAGTGGTAGTATTTGGCGCTGACACTAAAAAGTTAACTGTCACTGCAGAGTAGTTTAAAGTACAGGGTGATCCAGACCACCCGTCCACTATCTTTTTCTCGAAAACGGCGGAAAATTGAGCTTCGGAACAAAAAGTTTCATAGGGTAAATCGACCCCAAAGAATCGAATGAAAATATTTTCAGCCCCCCAAAATGGTCTCTGGGGGGGAGGGGGTGCTCCCCGTTTCTCGCGATTTTCAAATAGGAAGGGTCTGTTTTGACTTTGGACTTGGAATCTACGGCAAAGACTAAGAACATTTTGTTCTTTGCACTTTTTCCCTAAACCCCCATTTTTTAGAGTTATGGGGCATTTTCGGGGCAATTTTCAATTCGATGCTGTAAGCGGACAAATTATTTAAATTTCAAAATCTAAAAATCTTATGAGAGGAGAGGTCAATACCTTTTTAGAGATGTGCCATATGACCCCTGTTGATCCAAAATGTTGTAGGCCGCGACCATCCCACCCCCAAAAAATTTTGGGGCTTTGGAGGACCGAAAGACGAAAATTTCAAATGGCTAGGGTATGTTTTGACTTCAGATATGCGAAAAGTTACGTGGAATTGATACGGCGCATGGCCTGTATACTCCAAATTACTGGAGAGCCCCATTTCTCCATAAGAGGCCGTGTATTTTTGGAGAAAATAAGGGGCAAGAAAAATTTGTAGCAAACGGGTCATGCGCCATATCAATCCTACGTAAATTTTCGCGCAAAATCCATATCTGAAGTCAAAACTTAGCCTTGCCATTTGAAATTTTCGACTTACGCCTCCCCAAGCCCCAAGATTTTTGGGGAGGTCGTGGCCCCCAAAAGTTTGGATCAACAGAGGTCATATGGCACATCACTAAAAAGGTATTGACCTCTCCTCTCATAGGATTATTAGATTTCGAAATTTGAATAATTTGGCCGCTCACAACATCGAATTGAAAATTGCCCCAAAATTCCCAAATATGCCCCATAACTCCAAAAAATGGGGGTTTAGAGAAAAGTGCAAAAAACAAAATGTTCTTAGTCTTTGCCGTAGATTCCAAGTCCAAAGTCAAAACATACCCTTCCTATTTGAAAATCGCGAGAAACGGGGGGCACCCCCCCCCCAAGGGACCATTTTGGGGGGCTGAAAATATTTTCATTCGATTCTTTGGGGTCGATTAACCCTATGAAACTTTTTTTTCCGAAGCTTAATTTTCCGCCGTTTTCGAGAAAAAGATAATGGACGGGTGGTCTGGATCACCTTGTATATTAAACTGCGAGTAGAAGTTTATTCAAAAGTTTTACTGTTCGAGCACTGTCTACTTTTATTATTTAGGCATGCAATTCCGCCATACCCACATAACTTCAGCTGCAAAATCCGAAACCTTGGTTTTTTCATACCATGCACCACTTTCCCCAAGTAATTGAATTTTTCCTAAAAAACTCAATTTCTATGACGAAAATCTTGATTCTATGAAAAGATAAGGGATAAACGTAAACAACTGAGGTCATTTTTTAACTCAACGCTAAGAATTACACAGGAACCAATTTTCTGGTCAACTTGGAGGTCAGCCAAGTTTTGTTTTACTCTTTCGTGGAGACCTAGGTTATTTGTAAGATTAGTAAACTTTGAGTGCCTACTATTCGACCATAAAAAATACAAAACATGAATGGTACATCAAATATACAACCAGCCGAGGTAATACAGGAGTTTCTTAATGTTTTAGGATCTGAACTAAAAGACTATCATACCTACTATAACCCTTAAATCTTTTGAGGCCAAGAAAAGCCACGGTGTGTTTTAAACACTTTTAATGCGGTCAACATACCACCCGCGATTTTTTGCGGAAATGTCAACTAGAAGGCCTACTGATTGAGGAACAACAAACCGCGAAATCTGTGATAGGGCCGTTTTTGAGAAAATACGATTTTTCGCTTTTTTGGCGGGAATTTCGGGTCAAGGCGCTGAAAAAGTCAAGTTAGGCTGTTTTTGT